AAATACAAGAGAAAGGAATTCTTCCAAATTCATTTCACAAGGCTAGCATTACCCTGGTGTGGAAACCAGATGAGGATGCCACAAGAAAAGAAAATTACAGGCCAATATCCCTTGTGAACAAATTCAAAAACCCTCAACAAAATACAGATGACCCATAACAACACAGAGTTTGTGGAGCTGACCACCCATGAAGTTGAAAATCGACATACAACTTTTCATTCCCCCAAAACTTAACTATTGATAGGCTACTGTTGGCCACAGCCTTGCTAGTAACAGTCAATTAACACTTACTTTGTACTATGTGTTATGTATTGTATTCTTACAATTAAGTTAAGCTACAGAAAAGAAAATGTAATTAAGAAAATCGTAAGGAACCCTGGCAGGTGTAGCTCAGTGGATTGAGCATGGGCTGCAAACCAAATGGTTGCTGGTTCGATTCCCAGTCAGGGCACAAGCCTGGGACAGGTCGCCAGTCGGGGCTGTACGAAAAGCAACCACACACTGATGTTTCTCTCCCTCTCTTTCTCCCTCCCTTCCCATCTCTCTAAAAATAAATAAAACCTTAAAAAAATAAAATCCTAAGGTAAACATGTTAAAAATTTTGTGTATAAGTGGACCTACACAGTTCAAACCTGTGTTGTTCAAGGGCCAACCCACTCTCTGTCTCTTTCACCCTTCCTCTCTGGTGAGGATTAAAACACACAAACACAAAAGGATCACACATCATGATCACAAGAGGGGTTTACTGCTGGGATGCAAAGATGGTTCAAAATGAGCAAATCAGTCAATATGATATATACCACATTAACAACACAAAGGATAACAATCTCAACACATGCAGAAAAAACATTTGACAATATTCAACATCCATTTATGATAAAAACTCTTTCAGGTGGGTAAAAAGGAATATATTTCATCATGAAAAAGGCCATATATGACAAACACACAGCTAATATAATGGTGAAGAGTGAAAAGCTTTTCCTTTAAGACCAGGAACAAGACTCACCACTTTTATTTAACATGGTACAGAGTCATGTACCACTTAATGACAGGGATGTGTTCTGAAAAACGAGTAGGTGATTTCATCACTGTGCAAATATCACAGAGTACACTTACACAAATCTAGATGGGACAGCCTATTACCATCCAGGCAATATGGTATAGCTATTGTTTCTTGGACAAAAGCCTGTATAACATGTTACTATACGGAAGAACAGGCAATTAATCAAACACAAGAGAAAATGATGCAGTCAAGAATGAGGTAAACACAAGATGCATGAAAATGTATGAGGACGCTGCCAGTTTAACACAGCATACTGTTTTACAGCAAACTTTTTATAAGCAGAAAGAGTACACTCTAAAATAACAATAGAAAGTACAGCATAGTAAATACATAAACTGTAACAGTTGTTTGTTAGGTATTATGTACTATACATAATTGTATGTGATGTACTTTTATACAGCTGGCAGTGAAGTAAGTTTGTTTACACCAGCATTACCACAAGCACGTAAGTAATGCATTTCACTACAACATTATGACAGCTAGAACATCACCAGGCAACAGAAATTTTTCAGCTCTATTTTAATATCATAAGACCACCATCATATGTGCTGGTTCTTCATTGACTGAATCATCATTTTGCAGCACACAACTGTATTGTTAGTCCTACCCAGACTAAATTGGAAAGAAGTAGAACTGTCACTGTTTGCAGATAACATACTACATGGGAAACCCTAAAGAGTCCACCAAAAAATTGTTAGAATAAACTTACTCAGTAAAGTTGCAGGATACAAAACCAATATATAAAAATCTGCTGCATTCCCAAATGCTAATAACAAACTATTTCTGAGTCTTCAGAAACAATCCCATTTACAACTACATCAAAAAGAATAAAAGCCCTGGGCAATAGGGTTCAGTTGGTTTTAGCGTTATCCTATATATTGAAGGATCACAGGTTCAATCCCAGGTTGGGGCTCACATGAGAAGGCAACCAGTCAATGTTTCGCTCTCTGTCTCTGTCTCTGTCTGTCTGTTTCTCTCTCTCTCTCTTTGTCCCTCTGCCTCCCTTCCCCCCTCCCTCCCTCCCTCCCTCTCTCTGCTTCCCTTCCTCTCTCTCTATAAGAAAAAAAATGTCCTCAAGTGAGGATTAAAGAAAAAAAAGAATACCCTGAAATTAACCAAAGAGGTGAAAGACCTGTATATTGAAAGACTGTGAGACATCAATGAAAAAAGAATTAAAGACACAAATAAACAGAAAGATATTCTGTGCTCATAGATTGGGAGAACTGATATTGTTAAAATGTCTATAACTACCCAAAGCAATATAAGAATTAAATGCAATCTCTATCAAAATTCCAATAAGCATTTTTCACAAACAATCCCCAATATTTTATAGAATGATAAAAGACCCTGAATAACTAAAGCAATCTTGTGAAAGAACAACAAAACTGGAGTCATTATATTTCCTGATTTCAAACCAGACTACAAAGCTTTCGTAATTAAAACAGCATGGTATTGGCATGAAAACAGATACGTAGGTCAATGGAACAGAAAGAACAGAAATAAACTTAAGGGGGCACTGGCTAGGTAGCTCAGATGATTAGAGCATCCTCCCAATATACCAAGGTTGCAGGTTCAATTCCCAGCCAGAGCACATACAAGAATCAACCAATGAATGCACAAATAAGTAGAAAAACATATCAATCTTTGTCTTTCTCTCTCTCTTTCCCTTTCTTTCTAAAACAATAAATAAAAAATAAATAAACTTACACATATATGGCTAATTAATTTGTGATAAGGAAGCCAAGAATATACAATCTGGAAAGGACAATGTCTTCAATAAATGATGTTAGGAAAATTGGACAGCCACATGCAAAAGAATGAAAATGAACCACTGTCTTAAACCATACACAAAAATTATCTCAAAATAAATTAAAACTTAAAACATAACACCTGAAATTATAAAACTCCTAGAAGAAAACAGATGGTAAGTCCTCTGATAAGGGTCTTAGCCGTGATTTTTTTAATTTAACACCAAAAGCAAAGGCAACAAAAGCAAAAAATAAATGGAACTACATAAAAAGCTTCTGCACAGCAAAGGAAGCAATCAACAAAATGAAAAGGCAATGTACTAACAGGAGAAAATACTTCCAAATCATGTATCTGATAAGACGTTAACACCCAAAATATAATATATAAAGAAGTCACAACTCAATAGCAAAAAGCAAACAATCTGATTTTAAAAATGGGCAGAATATCTGAATCGACTCCCCCCCCCCAAAAAAAAGACATACATATTGCCAACAGGTACATGAAAACATGCTCTACATCATTAGTCATCAGGGAAACGCAAATCAAAACAATGAGGTATCACCTCATACCTGTTATGATGGTTATTATCAAAAAGACAAGACATAGCCCTGGCTGGTGTACTCAGTGGATTGAGCACGGGCTGTGAACCAAAGGGTTGCTAGTTCGATTCCCAGTCAGGGCACATGCCTGGGTTGCAGGCCAGGTCCCAGTGGGGGCCATGTGAGAGGCAACCACACATTGATGTTTCTCTCCCTCTCTCCCTTCCTTCCCCTCTCTCTAAAATTAAATAAAATTCTTAAAACAAAATATGATTTAAAAAAAAAAAAAGACAAGACATTGTTGGCAAGGATGTGGAGAAAAGGGAACCCAGTGCAGTGTTGGTGGGAATGTCAATTAGTACAGCCACTATGGAAGACAGGGTGACAGTTCCTCAAAAAATTAAATAGAACATTTCAACAGTGAAAATTTCTCAAATTATAATTAGAAGGCTCTCTAAGACCTTATTTTACAGATAAGAAAACCCAAATGCAGAGAAATTAAGTAATGTACTTGCTCAAACCATAGAGCCATAGTCACAGTTATACCAGAACCTAGTACTCCTGCCCCGCGAGTTTTCCCATTCTACTCTATGCCTAAGACAGAAGTGTTTTCTCTACCTAAGAAAAAACCCTAACACTTTTTACATAAGGAAAAAAGCATGTAGTATTTCTTGGTTGGCAAAACAAACAAACAAACAATCAAGCAAACTCCTGACCCACGTGGCTCAGTTGGTTGGGCATCGTCCCACAGGGCACATGCCTGAGTTGAGGGTTCAGTCCCCAGTTGGGGCACGTATGAGAGGCAACCGATTGATAGTCTCTCTCACATCGACATTTCTTTCCCTTTCTTTCTCCCTCTCTTCCCTCTTAAAAAAACAAAACAAAACAAAAACAAACAAAAAAACGAGCATTTTTTGCCACTCTATCCTATAGAAGGTCCTAATACAATGTTAATGATATGTAAGTTGTCATCACCTAAACCATTATACAGAGAACTTGTAAATATGTTTTAAATAGACCAAACACAGTACAATTTAAATTCCAGAGAAAACAATCTTGTTCTATATTACAAAAATACTGAGAAAATGTATTTTAGGAGTATATACAAAGAACAAATTTTATGAATCAGCTTCAACATTTTTTATGTGATCTATTATATTATTTATTAATCAAAGATAAAGATCTTTGCCTCTTAGTCAATTCTTACAACTCACCTACACAATATTCACTATTAACACTATTATGCAAGAATAAACTAAAATTAGCTCTACATAAACTCCACAGCTTGTACAATGTTAAGATAAAATTTGTACCCAGGTCTGCCTAAATCAAAAGCATGTTCTATTGTTGTTATATGCAAATGTTTCCAAAATGGGCCTCAGAATGTGGTTAAACTGTTGGAGTACTGATGAAGAGGAATTAAACTTCTGAATGCAGAGTACCTTCAGCAACCTCTTCCATCCTATCAAGACACAATCTTTCCCCAAAGATAAATCTTGGAAACTGGGTCTCTAATGAGTTTCCCTGGTAGAGAATATTTTGCATGTCTTGTCACAACATTTCTGGGAAGAAATTCAGTGTGACTTGGTGACTCTACTGGGAGAGTACTCTTGGAAGCTTGTGCTTGGTTGGTTTCCTTTGGACTTTACCAGTGTGCCTTCTTCCTCTGCTTATTTTGCTTTGTACCCTTTCACTGTAGTAAATCACAGCCGTGAGTATAACTAAAAAACAAAAACAAAAACAATCTTTAAAGGGTTCACTAGTCAGGTTAATATTTGAAAAGCATGCAAATTCAGGTCTAAAATTATTTTTGTACATTATGTATTTTCTCTAGAAGTTCATCAGACGTTCTTCATGTAACTTGGTGTTAAAAAGAAAAAGCAAATGCAAATAGAAGAACCAATGCTTAACTTCAAAAAAGACTGCATCTCGAGTTGTCTTAAAACTCACAAATAGACAAAAGCCAGAAGAGACAAAACTGCTTTCATGATACAAAAACAAAGTTGTTTTATGGACTTAGTCATTCTTATCTCTATGAGCTTCTAAAGGCATCTGTTTCCCCAGACTAAAATACGTATGTACATTTATTTTTAAAATTAATTCAGCTTATTTCTTAATTTGATGTATTTCCAAACATATATTTTTTATGTGCATAAAAAAATAAGAGATGAAATATACAGAGTAGGGAAGAATGATGAATGAAAAGCTGTATCACGCATTAAAAGCAAGTTACTCATTCCTGAAAGAACATTCTTGGCAAAATCCTAGACTGTATTAGTGGACCAAACATCTGAAGATCCTGTATATTCTGCCATCTGACAGCAAGCATCCTTTCAGCATCAAGTTTTATTTCACAATACACTGAAATATAATAGCAACAATATCATTACTACCACTGTTTGTACTTCTGTTCTTAAGTCACAGGAATGAGACATTAGCAGCAGCATAATTTGACAATAGATCCTTCCCGTTTCTTAATATGGTCTTTGTTTTTACTTTCTTTTCTACTTGTAACTGGGTATTATTAATATATTCACACTCCCCAAAATAATTGATTTCATCTGGATTACTTGATAAAGAATATCTGACAAAATATGGACTGGGTGATTTAGGTACAGTAATTACTAAAAATATTTTTACCCAAACATCTTTATATGGTTTTAAGAAATAATTTCTACCACTTACTGTCTGAGAGATAATATATAAACATTTATCAATCATTTAACAAGAACAAACTTCCCATTTTTTCCAAAATAAAGTGTAAGTCTTCAGGAAAAGAAACAAAAGGCAAAAAACTGTCTAAGTGATCAACATCTCTGGTCCCTTGTCCTTATCTACAATGGTAAATTTATTTACTATCAATATAACTATATTATAACACTCTTCCCCATTAATTTATATTCTCTTGCTTTTAAAAGATCAAAATCTAGGAATAATTCAATTTTCTTAATAGTTTAACAGCTGTGACCAAAAAAACTCACTTAGGTTGGACTGTCACCTATGTGGTCTACTTAAGTCCCACAAAAATTTGCAGCTCCTGGTAGTATCTACCTAAAATCTTCTCACTAATGTGGAACATTCTACTTTAACTTCTCCATCTTTGCCCTTGTTTTTCCCCAATAAAATATGTGATTTTGGACTTGTTATATAAAATTAAATGGAAGTTCTTTGCCTAAGGAGAAAGGGGCCAAAGGAAATGTTATTTTTTTGATAAGGTTGTACATTGGTAACCATAAGCTATGAGTCTTGAATCCATTTTCAGGAGATATAAGTGACCTTCTGGTTCTCTGTATATGTATATTTATTTTAACATGAAAAAATCTTTTTAATAAACATGCCACAGGGGAAATATATATATATAGTATATATATACACAAATAAAACTTGGTTGTACAGGTCCCACACGGAAAATAGCTTTATCACTTTTATTATACCCATTTTCCTTTTAAAAAGTTAATACATGGGGGAGGGGTGTTTAAGGGGACTAAATGGTAATGGAAAAAATATATTAAAAATACACTTTTTTAAAAAAGGCAATACACCAAAATCCCAATACTCTCAAATAACTGTTAGAAATTAATCTGTATTATTTTTTAATGGTTTTATTTATTTTTAGAGAGGGGGAAGGGAAAGAGAAAGAGAAAGAAATATCTATGTGTAAGAGATACACTGATCAGGCTGCCTTTCCCACACCCCCAATTGTGGATCTGGCCTGCAACGCAGGCATGTGCCCTGACTGGGAATAGAACCGGTGATCTGTTATTTCACAGGTCAGCACTCAATCCACTGAGCCACACCAGCCAGGACTATTTCATTATTTCTATCTTGACTTATTCTCTTTCCAGTACAGAAACTAGATCTAGATACAAAATCTAACATAGTATCATAAAAATATTATTGCTAAAGATAATTATGAGGTTTCCAATAGGTAAACAATAAGTAAAATTCTAGTACACTGACTACTGAACAGATGATATATTAACTAAACCATTTCTTAAAGATGTGTTAGTTATATTAAACACTCATAAAAAATTACCAGATTAAAAGTTTTCAAGAACTATTCCCAAAGATTTATAGACTTCTTAATGTCCTTTCATAATTAAAGCTTCATTTTGTTGTGATCAGATAAGCTAATCAATGCCCACTTACAGAAGTTAAACTTTATCAGCTTCCTTAGTAGCTCAATGAAAATTCACATAACCTAACATAATGATAAGTATTTATATCATTAATCATTCAATTAAAAAGCCACATTTCAATACAGGGACACAGTCACAAACACTTAAGTTTCTCTTTTTATTCTTAAGTAAGGAGTTCCTCATTTTATTTTGATGGGAATTTCTCCTTATTACCTGTGTTACAACACCTTTCTGTATCTACTAACAAAGCACTTTGTCTAAGATCAGTGATGTTTGAAATTACAAAAACAGTGTATCATTTTCAAAATTTGCCAAATTGCTCTTCCCGTTTCAGCAATTATACACTACTCAGCAACTTCCTTTTCCATCACGTATTTTAAAATATTTATTGCCAGCTGCATCAAATCTAAGTCACAGCAAGAAGGTTAGAATTGAGAAGGCACTTGGCTAAAATCCAGGAATCCTGAATCCTGATCTTAATCTGCTTTATGCTGGTTGCCTCTTCACCCTTACTGGACGTCTCTGGGAAGAATATGAATAGAAGAAAAGACCAGGCACCCACACACTGTTACTATAAAGCTTTTGTTACCAACTTCAAAGTCCCCTGTGAACTAGGCTGGTCTGCATGGAAGGCTTGCCAAGCTTAAGGTGAATCACTTGGATATTCTTAGCTGTGTTTCCTCCTGTAAACCTATGCTCAAATCTCAGCCACTGGTGAAGAAAGGCCAGTCTAGCAACATATGAAGGAAAACTAAGCCAGTGGAAACATTCAGCTCAGAAACCCATTTAGCTCTGAATACCACAAACAAAACTTAAAAAATCAGAAAGAAAAAGGAAAGACAAAACAGGACAACAATGAAGAGATGGGGGCAAGGCATTCTGGGCAAGGGAATTTAAAGGGTAATTATGCTACCATTAATGTTAAGATTATAGGTAGAGAAACCAGAATTCTTTAATGTAACATAAATCAAGTATGCAATCAGTAGTTGGAAACAAAGGAGGAGGGGACAGCTTGGTAAAACCAAACAGTAAAGTGTAAAAGAAGAGTGCTGCTTTAATGTTTAAGATTAAAGAGCACAGGCTTTATTTAGAATTTCAATTCTGGGTGTACCACTGTTTAGCTGAGTGACATTAATGAAGCTTTCCAAATCTGTTTCTCCCGCTGTAAAACAGATATTAACATCAGAGGGCTCTTTTCTGGCACACAGTAAATGCTGAATATGTGGTAGCTTTTAATAAGCATTAGTAAAACAAAACAAAAACATGTCATATTTAGATATCTCATTTCTTTAAATTTATGAACCACTTGATGAAGGTAGGAGGAGGACAGCTTTGGCTGGCATGGTTCAGTAGACTGAGCACCAGCCTGCAAACCAAAGGGTCTCCAGTTCTATTCTCAGTCAGGACACTTGCCTGGGTTGCAGCCAGGTCCCCAGTATGGGGTACACAAGAGGCAACCCACACACTGATGTTTCTCTCCCTCTGTCCTTCCCTTCCTTTCTCTAAAAATAAATAAAACCTTTAAAAAGAAAGTACTATACAAAAGATCGTTAAAAAATTCAATACTAAATATTATGTCTGAGATTTGCTTCAAAATAATCCAGTGGGAACGAAACAATGGTCGTTAGTTGACAGAGCTGGGCATACACTATACTATTGTATTTCTGTGTATGTTTGAAGCTTTCCTAAATGAAAGATTTTTAAAAACTTCTTTCCTTTTAATTAGTATGGTTGGACAAGAAAACAAGTTCTAGCATCACTTTTACCTCTGATAGATCATGAATCTGAAAGATGAAAAGTAAATGAGAACATGAGACTATCCAATGGGTAGGTATAGAGAAAAATACCTACAAATAACATACTAAACATACCTACATTGATTGGGAGGAAGGGAAGTATTCAGATAAAAGCTGACAAATACCCATGAATTGGGGACAGTTAAAAATAAAAAGTGAAAAACAAGAGAGCATCAAACAGAATATAAGCATGTCTTAACAAATTCAACAATTCCTTCCTCTACATATTCTACACTTATTTTTTAAAGATTTTTTATTTATTTATTTTTAGAGAGACAAGAAAGGAGGGAGAAAGAGAGGAAGAGAAACATCAATCCGAGAGAGACATCTATTGGTTGCCTCTCACATACGCCCCATGCCCAGACTGGGGACTGAACCCACATTCCAGGCATGGGCCCTGGCCAGGAATTGAACCAGCAACCTCTTGCATTGCAGGATGACACCCAACCAACTGAGCCACACCAGTCAGGGCAACACTTATTTTTTAGTTTGTATAAACCAATAATTCTAAATGTATTAGTACAGCATGTATTTATATTAAATCAGATGTGAATTCTGTTGTAAAATGGAATATATTTCTTTGTGGTAAATTCATATTGTCACATGTGGAATTTTCTTTTACCAAGCAAGGTATACCCTGGAGATCCTTTCTAAATGTTTTTCTTCCTCTTTATCTTGTGAACTTAGGAGATGGAGAACATATCTTCACCCTCTGAAAACCTCTAAAAAGTCAACTAATAAGAGAAATGTACACAATAATCATTTATTAATAATTACCATGATAAA